ACTTGCGGTCTGCAATGCGTGTCACGCTCGCGCACACAAGTAAATATATAAGCACGTTCTTTCTCACAACGCGTCAGACACAAGAAAATATACATTAAAGGGGACCTATCATGCAAAATGCACTTTGTGATGTCTTTTATACATAAATATGTGTCCCCGGTGCGTCAGGGAACTCATGCAGCGTCAGAAAATAAAACCCTCTCTCTTTTCCTCCGTACCCAAATCTTTTAAAAACGGGTGTACAACGAGCGGATACAGATTCCATCCGAACTGACGTCAAATCGGACACAGTAGGTGGTTATGGGTTTTCACATCATTCACCACCAAAGAGGATCATGGGAAAGTGTGAACACATGGCTCAGTTCCCATTTGGCCAAAGAAAGTATTTCATACTTCTATTGTGGTCTATATCTGTAGAGATTGGCGACCCTGTTTGCTGATTTCAAGCAAGGCCAATATCGTGAAATGTGTCCAACAGAGAAGATGAGTGTGTGGGATTGTTCTCTGTATGGGTTAACACACTCTCCTCTCAGCAAAAAAACAATCTCTGGACTATTTTGCGCCTGTTGGGAGGAAGTTGTGTAATGACCTGAAACATTAGTACAGACAATATCAGATCACCGGGTCAGGGCTCTGATTGCTCTCCTGCTACCTCAGACCTAGGGCGGCGGTCCTTTATGCAGAGGTGAAAGGGGACAAATCTAATGCCTGATATCTCCTCCTGTCATAATAATACTACAATATGTTTGCCAGGGTTCTTTAAAGGAGGAAAGAGGCAGACTTCCGCAGCAGCTTGACATCCATAACATCTTAGCCTACATCGCATCTTAGCCATATTAAATACTTAAGGCCTACTTCTGAAGAATACAGGTTATTTTTCTCTCTTTCATTTGAGATCAATCTTACCAACTTGACATTTTTACCAAGAATAAATCTCCTTTTTCGAGAGGGCGAATACATTCACATCCTGGTTTTTCCTATAATTAAACCGAACTGCGCACTTCCGTTCAACCCTCAGGGTTTGCTGTTGAAAAATCACTGCTCTGCCTTTGGTTGGCAGAGATTCACAGTAAAGAACTGTCCCCTCAATCCAGAAATACACACATGCATGGGTAAACTCACATGGTGTAACTTCACCTGTGGATCTGCATTTTAACAAGACATAAACAATTATCTCGGGGCCAATAAATGCAAGTGTTTACAGCTTGTAACTGGGACATGGATTGGAGGAAGAATATACGTTTGAGAACTTTTTACCAGTTTCAACACTCACAGCAATTGTTGAGAGGATATCCTCAATCAAGGCCCCAAAGAGCACAATGAATAGTCTGGCTGACAGAAACCTGCGGCCCCCAACAACCTCCTTCACCTGCCGGCTGTGCTCTGGAGAAGAATGAGAATGTTGTGCTCCAAGCACAACAACAAAGTGACGTGAACTTTGTTTCTCATTGAATTTCACCAATGGGAGTCTTCTGCCAATTTAAATAGTCACTCTTCTTCTGATGGTGTCGTAGGGAGTGCTGACAATAAAACTTGGTTTGGGCTTTACTCAATTTTTGCCATTTCTGTATTCATATACCCAGACCATATTCCCCCAAGACACCATTGTTTTTGTGTATAAACCATAAACCCATGGTCATTCAATACAGTGCACACAGACCAGCTTCTTGCTCAGACATCCCAAAAACTGAATAGCATTGCTGGTATCTGCCGCCAGATTTTCTTTGTTTCAATTAATATGATTTATTTCTTTTTTGAATCTACTTTATTTAGGAATATGCACCCTGGGATAATAATATAAAGTAAAATAATTCCAAATGTAAGAACACATTTATAAACAGGGCCCCAGCATTATGAATGATTTACTAAAGATATTTGAAACTTATCAAATGTAATCTGAACCCAAAAATACACAATGACAGGTGCAAAAGACCTTAATAAGGGGAAGTAAGACAAAGAAGCTGAGTCAAAGTGTACAAGGGAAGTAAAAGATAATAAAAAACATTATTTCAATGTCTACAAACAAGTCTTGAGAAAAAACAATTTGAATGGCAAGTACTGTACATTTGAGCTCTTAAGTCAAGTTTAAGAACTCTCTGAACCTGATTACAGAACATTATCCCTGTATGTTCAGTGTTGTACTGTAAGTGTTATGTGTTTTAGTATTGTGAATGCATGTTTCCATTTAACTTAAGAGGGTGGTTTGAAGATGAGCAGAGTGAAAAATAACATGCATGTCCTTTTCAATGTTGAGGCTCCCCCTCTTGGACAAAGTAAGAATTATTTAAAGCCTACTTTCATTTACAAATATAGATTTTTACACATTTAAACAATGCATACAATGTTATTTTTTACAGTTATAAAGACATAATCAGTGAAGATGCATAATATATTTTCACCCATGAATGTTGCAGCAATCCCTTTTGCCAGGCTGTAACAAGTATATCATTTGATAAATATATAAATATTTATTTATGTTTAAAAACATAAATAAAATTAAATAGAGTTGGATAATTTGAATGGTAGCTTTATAAGTTGCATGTGTCATGTTCCCTACAATTACCTTCACGCCAATCCAACACAGGCTGCAGAGGCAACACACTCTCACTCCCTAAACATCCAGGAGCGACGCTTGGTCAGGGTCCCGTGGGCGTGCAGTTGCTCGCCGAGGCTCCTTCAGCTTCATAAACGGACGCAAAGATGTTAAAGGCAATGTGAGCATCCATTCCCATTGGATAACGGAGAATTGTACAGCCGGAAGCAGGAGCGGACTGGCCATTGGGAATACAAACTCCCGGTGGGCTGGTGCAGTGCGTGGGCCGGAGGGCCAAAAAAATAAAAAAATAAAATGGAAAACATTTTTTTTTAAAAAGAATTTCTTTGCCTAAATCCTACCGGCCCACATTTGTAAGTGTTCCGGCCACTCCTTTTTTTGTTTTCTTTTGCTTACCTGGCAGTTGCTTACAGATGGATAAAAGAGCTCCAAAGCGTAAAGGCATTTTTGTATAGTTTGTGTATCGAGTATACAGTATTGTGGCGAGCCCTGGGTTCAGAGGGAGGCGCTTGCATAGGGGGGGGGGTTGGCAGGGAAACGGGGTTCAGGGGAAGTGGCTGTACGGCTGTACCCGTAGGATAGAAAAGGGGGAAGTGACGTCTGACTCAGAGGTCGCGCGGCTGTGGAGAAGAACGTGTTGCCCACATTCTGTTACTGAGTTTAGGCTAGTTAGCTAGCAGGTTTATTGTTTTGGGTGCAGTGACTTTTGCCTCCACTTGCTGTTCAAATAAATGTTGAAAGAAAAAGTAAATCTGTTTACAGTTCTGTTTTATATGGGTGTTGAAGAAGAAGAAGAATTGGGAGGGATGAAACCCTCTTTAATGGTCACACATGCAGAGCACACAGCACACACAGTGAAATGTGTTCTCTGCTTTTAACCCATCCTAGTACCAGGATTCTAGTATTAGGAGCAGTGGGCAGCTGTTGTACAGCGCCCGGGGAGCAATCGGAGTGAGGGCGGGCGCTGTACAACAGCTGCCCACTGCTCCTAATACTAGAATCCTGGTACTAGGATGGGTTAAAAGCAGAGAACACATTNATGAACATCCTTTTATTCTACACCTCCCTCCGCCTTCTCCTCCCTTTCCTCCCAATAAGGATAAGGGTCAGCAGTGTGGCAGAAGCCAGCTCCAAACGCTTCCAGATTTCTTTATGAGCCACATTAACAGTCTTCAGGGCGTATTCATTATCCAAGTAAGTGTAGTAAGATGACCAAGCAGAGACCTTGTGGCCACCATCCAAAACGTGGACTCTAATTTGCAGGACGTGAGCAGAATGTTCCAGGGATTCGGAAGTTCTATTTTTTTCATCAAGTCAACAGGGTATGCGCAGCTCCATGTAAAGTTACTTGGTGAAAACAGTATTCTCCGAGGTCTCGACGTTTTCAAATAAAACCAATGATCAAATTATTTAACAGGATATCTGTTAATTTTATACAACATTTATTGGTTAATTGATGTACATTGCTTTTTTTTTCCCATAGGTTTTTCTCTTCGATGCTGAGAGACACAACCTTTCTTTCTGATTCAGAGGGTTTTTGATATTTGTTTTAGTCCGCAATGCATTTCGGGAAATGGTGTTTATATGATATGAAATCGTTAAAAACCTTTATAAAAAATAAAATAATACTTTATTCAATGTTCTTGCTTGCCATTTCTCTTTGGAAGTCATCCACATAACGGCATTCTATAATACATGGTCGGCTGCATTAAATCATTACATAACTGCCGTAATATTATTATAGAGCCCTGATCAGAAGACCTTTTGACAAACTGTAAGAAATGCCGCCCAAAACTGAAACGTGACGTGGACATAAAATATCATTAGCAACTTAAAACAACATCTTCCGATTTCTTTTCACACAATACGTCTCCTTGCAGTATAAACACTAATTCGGCTATGACTTTTAAATTTGATCCAAATTGTGAATTATATTTACACATAACAAAAAGTTACAACAGCTGATAGAAAGGGATTTTTCTATTTTTAAGATATTTATTTACTACCTTCCAACTCCTCATGCAGTTGGACTTACACTATGACAGTCATGGTACAATGCATTAAGCTTCAAATCAAGGGACTGAAAATGTTATTTTCCTTTACCGTCTGTTTTAATTCACAATAAATTAATAGTCATATTAATTTTGACTATTATTATGTTTTATTAATACACCACTTTTTTTTTAACGGCACCGCCTATGGTTAAAGCACGTTATTGAATTTTGTTGTTGAATACGTTTTATTGATGAAAACATTTAAATATTAAAGTACTACAACAAAATTGAAAAGAAGCATGATAGACATATAGAATATAAAATATTCAAGAAGATACTTTAGTGATCTCTACAATAAACAGTTTTAGTGCAGGAGTACAAAGATATTAACAGGAGGATGTGCAAAACAGACAAACTAATAAGTCTTTATTTAAACATTAAATAATACTTTAGATTAAGCGTCTTCTTTTGAATAAGGAAAAAAACGTTGGGGTTATCCACAGATAAATATATTAGTTCTGACAAAGTACTTAACGTCCAATTATATTGCCATAGTTTATTTGGCACTTACAATCACCTTCCCTGAATTTGACTCAGGTGTAACTAAAGTCTGATTTTAACGGGTTGTTTATATTTCACATCATTAATTCAGAATCTGCAAAGAGTAACTAAACTAAATTGTAGTGGGTAAAAAATACCAGGGTTAACCTGAATTGTAGTGGAGTAAGAACAAAATAGTATGCTGCTTAACAAAACACATTTCCCAACTGGGATCATAAAGTATATCTTATCTTATCTTAAGAATGATCGATGGCTACTGCCATATTTGAAAAATTTGCCTCTGAACCCCCCCTTTGACAAGTGCATGTTTCAGGCTATCAATGAACAACAGGAGGGGTCCACAGACATAAGACCAGCTAATTAAATAAAGCATCCTTCTGGACCTTAAGGTGTCATGTGGGTATATATAATCAACCCATTTATTAATGATATGTTTTAAATTTGATAACACACTGTTTTCGTATCCCCTAAACCTCCCGGGGTACACAGTTTAATACTGGCAACTTCTAATTGTGGAAATACGAAAACGTCTATAAGAGACGTGCCATAGAACATGTTCGAAACACACAATAGCCAGCATGGTGTTAGTTCGTGGGGGGGGGGGGGGGGCTGGTCTGGACCCTTCCAATTTCAGTTTTGGAAAGCCTGCCGTAGTTCCATTCCATTTCATAGAGCTGTGACGCTCAGCGTAACCTTGTCGCACTGCCACTCCAACATCCAATCACAGGGCTTGATGACTAATCACAGGGTTTGTAAAGCAAGGCGGATGTTGTAGTCCCAAACGATAGCTGGGAATTCTGGGTAATGTAGTGTCTTCGGAAACTGTAGTGTCTTAACTCCGAAAAAACTATTTGTTTCTCTGAATCGAAGGTTAAAAACACAAAAGCATTGTACACAATTTAAACTAATCAACATTGTGTAATTAACAAGGATAAACTGATGTTTTTTAGTGGATGAGTAATGCAGATATCACTGTGTAATCATTTGACAGTGAGGGGAATATATCCGGTTTTATTATGAAAACTTCGAGACCGGAAAAACTGTTTTCACCCACGCTAACTTTACATGGAAGCTGCATACACGTTATCATGGCGAGAACTCAGATCATCTTCGTAATATTTATCAAACTATAGATCCTACACATCGACTGGACGTGGATTCTAAGAGTACAATATACACTTCTCGCCAGAAATCGAATCAAAAAGCATTTTAATGGCCAAACTATTCCACAATTTAGGATTTTCCAGAGAGGGTTATTTGTGAATAAACGTCCCTCCGGAGCGTTTGCAATGAACGGGCCGGGAGCACCTCTAGTGGTCGTGTAAGAAACAACATACACTTTAAAACATGTCTCTGGGTCGTAATAAGGGCATGAACAATCGGCCTATGGTCGTTTTTGTAGGAGGACAGGCTGCTTAATTTACTTTGTCAAAGATATCATGAACAAACTCATAGTATAGCAGTGGTGAACCGTCAGGGCCTTCAAGATATTCAGAGAATACCCTGGAACACTCAGATAAAACAAACAGGGGTGTCTACAGAAGGTCCAGTTATGACACGGTTCGCCACTGTAGTATAGTATGGCAAAAATATCCCTAAAGTCAGAGTATACTATGTCGGAAAAGTAATAGTATCGATTGTCAAAACATGAAAAAAAAAGTCATATCATAGTTTGTTTATAAAATGTGTAATGAAGTCGAAAACATTATGAAAAAAGTGTAGTAGGTTGAGTAAATTATGTCAAAAACGACGTCAATAATATGAAAAAAAAGTCATAGTATATCGAAACGTCGTGAAAGAAGTCAGTTTAGTTTGTCTAAAATATGACATAAAGTCATAGTATATTGTGTCGAAAAACTCATAGTATTCTAAACATTTCATTTATGTCAAATAGTAATTGAATAGTATGTCGAAAAATATAAAACATTTAATTGTATAGTTTGTAAAAAAAAGAAAAAAACATAGAAAAGGTATGTCGAAAATATCAGTAAAACATGTGATTTCAATGGCTGAAGATCATTGAGGTTTCCATAAGTGAATAGATCTGTGTACAGAATAACCGTACAAATCGCTCTCTATTGTCACTCTGTTTATGATCCAAGCATTCCTCCAGGGAAAATCCAAAAGCCTATTTATCTACTACAGCACATAATACTGTATGCAGCAGTCATACGAATGACAAGCCAAGCAACTGTGTTCAGCTGCTTCATGCTCACATGGGGCCATCTGCTCTTCTAGGGAACATAAAGTTAACGAGAGGCTTGTTGAGATGTGTTAATTAGACTGTACATTTGCTAATTGATTTTGTTGATTAGGTTTAGAGGGGACGGGTGCTAATTGTTATCTCTTAATTTATGTTAATGGATGTTCAAAGATGCTGTTATCTTAGTAGTAATTTCCCCAACAACAACAACAGCAGCTGACACAACATGGTGTCAACCAAAGGTGCCAACACAATTAGAGCTCCTCTGAGACATGTAACCCTGATTGGCCATGACGCTAATTAATGCTAATTAGTATGGTGACAGTTAAAGGTCTCTAATTGACAGCAGTGCTTGGCCTTCATTGTTTATTTATCTGGCTTGATACCACTCAACAAAATGTAACATTTACCGTTTTGTTCCTTCAATAAATGTTGCTATAAAAGGACAGAGTGCTGTTTGTAGGGTTTGTTGTGCCAAGTTTTGTCTCTCTGGTCATTGAGGCATCAGAAGTCTGGCTGTACGGTCCTTTGTGATCAAAATGTAATTTCAAAAAGGTGGACAGAACAGGGTTAGATCCAAATTCCTTCCTAACAGATAATATAGTTGTCTGACATCTTTTACTGTAGAGTATTTGGAGAACTGATACAACAAGCTAAAAATAAATCCATGAAATAAATCCAAATGTCAGCCATCCTGCAGGTCTCCCTTGAAAAAGAGATCGATGATCTCAATGGGACCACCTGGTTAAATAAAGGTTTGAAATGAAATGTTTTATTCTTGAGTATTTCAGTACTGATTTATACATACACAACTGTATGTAAAGATAACATCTTTAGTTCTAGCAATATACATATTTAAACATTCAGAGGAGTAATAACTCCCCTGTTCTCTTATTTTGTCATAACAGTAATATGAACAGGCAATTATTGACGCCCAAACAATACCAGTTGTACATTTTCTAACAGCAAAGGCTCTTATCACGTTAACAAATACGTGCAACATAGGAGTTTTGTAGAAACACTAGCATCCCTCAACCGAAGAGTGCATTTTTGGTTTAGTTGTCAGTTTTCCGTCTTTTGGGCAGACGAAGCCTCTCTGTGTTGAGGAACTGTTCGATTTTGGAGATCTGGGTTCTGAACGATGCCTGTTGGTCTTCCCTTTCTTGGGAGCAGGACAGGTCCCCGTCTGTGCTGGGACCTGCAGCTGAGGTGGGAGCTCTGCTACACCTGGTGTAAGAAAAAGAGATCACTAGGTGGCTTTGGTATGCAACTATGACTCCAGTCCTAATACTGTAGGCCTTTCTCACGGAGGAGATTTGGACTTTTCACAGTATGAAAAGCACATGTGTAAATGTTGAATTTAATGAAGGTTAGTCTGATGTCAGGGTCCTGGTATTGTGCTTGCTGGCTCACTTGTCTCTCTTGAATAGAGTAGGGATGGCTATCATAACGATTTTATCGATACCATGCTGCTTATCAATACCAATATTTATCCATAATCTCCAAACTATAGAACATAACAAGTGAAAAACTATAAACTTAAAAAGTTTGAAGTTAGGCCGACTTACCAAGCAAGTAGTTAGTGATTAACGCAATGCTAGCTATTGGCTATTCAACATACTAAAATCCACTATCCTGAAGGGCTGTAATTCTTTTAGTAAAAACTTGCCGACAGCTCTGTGACTCTTCGCCGTCTCTACCTGTGTCATTTGGAGATGGGAGACTGCACTAAATATGTAGGTGTAATGCTAATGTTAGCAGCCACTTTGTTCAAGCAGTCAAACATGCTGTACTTCTTTGAGCAGAGCGTTCCTAACCATCCAACGTAGCATAACACAAACACCTGTGGCACTGTTTGTCCAGCAGCTTATCAATATTTCAGTACCGGCCAATCACGGTTCTTGACCCATTCCTAAAGTGGAGCCATCGTTAGGGTTATTGGTAGCACCTGTGCTTTTCTTCTATGACAAGCCAACATTTGAGCTGTGGGGGCCTATAACAATGCACTCAACATGAACGATAAGGAAAATCACCTTTATATCATGATCAAATAATGAGTAAAAACCAACATTTGGAACTTATTTGTAAAAATATCATATCTTTTTTAACTAGCGTGGGACATGGATGTTAGACATAAAGACTGCCCCCGTGTTTTTCTTCACTCGGTTATTCACTCTCCCTGGGTAGGTTCAGTAGCTGAATTTGCAACCTTTTTGGAGGACTATTTAAATCTTATAAATAATTTACACTGACGACTTCTTGACAATGTAAAGTTAGTGATTCACATTTTTAAGAGAGGTTCCACTGCAAAATCCAAATCGAAACTCGATAGCAATTCTGGTCCTCTTTATGTATGAGAAATGGACTTACCCTGGGGTGTTCTGCCATGACAGTCTGCTGACTGCTGTAGAAGTATTGACTGGAAATGAAGTAGTGGACAGAGAAGCTCTGCTCCCCTACAGTATGTAAAAATGACACCAAAAAGGGCAAATACTGAAGTTCTAGAGCTCAAACACAAGCTGTGAACTTCTATTTAGGCTGTGGAAAAGGAATTCATTCTTTCTCAAATCTCCAGTGACAGCTCCATTTTCTAGTGAAAAGGACATTAACCAATAAACAAATGTGGGGCAGACAATAACCAGTGGCAATTGATATGAAACAGTATCCAGCCCAGAGAATGTATCCAGGCGCAGACTGAACTCTGCGTGATGTTCCCAGCGTTCACAGTCTGCAGAAAATAAAGGCTTTGGCTCTCGCTACAATTTGTAAAACCAGTTTTTTTTTTTCTCATTCTCTAGGCTTGTTCCACTCTATCTCTCTCAATTGCCAGCACCTGGATCTTATAAAGCACAGAGTGACGGTTTGCGGTGATGGTGACAAAAGAGGCAATGAGAGCGTGTGAGAGGACAGAGAAAGTGAGTGAGTGAGAGATGGATGATGAAGTGAGAGAGGAAGAGAAAGAGTGAGGACATGGATAAAGACTGAGTAAGTGAGAGAGGAGAGTAACCCAGGCGTCATTAGGCCCATGTTCTTCCACAGGTCATTCATTCTGTCTGTCTGGCTATCAACGGGACGTTTTCGAGTTCAGGGTACATCAGCGACCTCCTTTCACTCACCGCCGGACATTTGTCAGAGCTTTATACATCTATTATATCTTACTGTATATTTTGCCTTGGCCTTTATGTGCTAGCTCATTCTGAGTTCTTTGCACCACAACAATGTTGAAAAAGCTTTATGTCTACTTTCTAAAGATGTCAGGTTGATATAACAGACATATGCATTAAGCTCTAGATTTCATTTCCCATGGGGTCCACTCAGACACATTTTATAAAATGATGAAGCTTAGAATCTGTGGAAAACGAAATGACCTCAAACTAATTATTTGATAGAGCATCTCATGTGTTTCTATGTGAACCACATAATGTGGCCGTTTCCTGCTGCTCAGCATCAAGGTATAATTGTGTATTACTGTGATGTAATATTACTAATATTACTTGAAATCATATGATCTACATAGCTATATATTGGGATTATATATCTATATATATCCACTCATACATCATATGAAGGTAAATTGTCTCAATATTATTTGTGTGAACAGATCGATAATCCATGTATAAAGCTGTAATCTGTACATTTTCATTAGCCTTCCACAAATGCAAAAAAAGTGAATTAGATCATATACATAAAACCAGCAAACACACACAAAACACCTCATTGTGTCATATTTACACAATAAATTAAAGAATATGTGTTAATTGCCTTTGAAAACAGAAACAGCAGTTACTATACTCTTACTATAAATGTGGAAACTAAGATGTCAGCAGGCCATCCAAAAGTGTCCGAATGTGTAAAATGCACCTGTGTAAAATTCAAATCAACAAGTTTAGAATACACTTATAATATTCATATTATGAAATATTCAGAAATGCTTTTTATTCAAATCAATTCATTTTCACATATTTATTTTTTTAATTGTTGAATGTGTGTTTTGAGGAGTTTCCCAATTTTGTAGCATTTGTGGAATGTGTTTTACATTTACAGATTACACATTTACACACAGAATGATGATCTCTTCAAAGAAATATTATGAGAAAAATCCACATCAATACAAATGAAAATATATATATAATACATATACAGTATAGAAGGGGTATGTTATTTATCGGTGCTGTAAAAAGAGGCCCTATCATGCTTCTTGGGGTTTTCCCTTTCCTGTAGTGTGGAATATAGGTTTTTGAACACAGGATTTAATTCTGCGTGGACAGAGTTATATGCTTTCACAGCAAACGATGCTGGCTTACCGGCATGTTTGATATGTAGAGATAAGTTGTTAAAGGTGCTGCAGCCTTTACGCATCGAGGAGAAAAACGGAAGAGAAAGACAGCTGACGATCTTCAGTCATAATTCAATCACTTAACTCTTTTTAGGGTGCAGCTATATGTTTTATTTATTTCAAAGTGGGCCGATTTTAATTATATATTTTTTCCTTCAAATGTGCAGAGGACTCCCCAAGCGCTGTGTTTAATTAATTTTAAAGTAGGCCTGTGTATCTTTTTTAATTCTCCTTATAAGAGTTCTTTGTTTTTTATTAGAGGTAAACAGTTTTCTATAATGTAATAAATAATAAATGCAAAACAACTGTAGTTTTTGTCTATGATATAACAATATATACAACTTTGTAAGCTATCAAGCTATCACATATGTTTTGCGGCTCCAGACAAAAAAATTGGTGGAAAAGGGGGAAATTGCTCTTTTGGTCAAAAAGGTTGCAAACCCCTGGGCTAACCAATCACAGCAGACATGTGCTCTGGTTTCAGACAGAGGGTGAAAAGAGGTGCTGCCGCACAGGCAGTATGAGAAAGATAAAGAGCTTTTTGAACATCAGAGTATGGAGACATGTCACAGTAGAGGCACAAAATACAAATATGAACCTGAAAATGAGCAGAATATGGCCCTGCAATAATACTGGGATCAGATTCAAGCAGAAGCCTGTTTCTGTAGATTGCTAATTGTTGATTTTCATTCTTTAAGTGTGTGACGAAAGAACAGCTTGTTACTTCATAATCTGTTCTGTAACTGACCATGTTTGTTGTCTCTTTGCAGGTCTCTCCCGAATCTTTCCGCTCTCCCTGCTGTTGTCTCTGTGTGGACGCTGCAGTCCCAGTGACACTGGAGGCATTCAACAGATCCGACACCTTGCTAATCACCAAGGGGACTAGAAAGAATGAGGTGAGAAGGCAAGAACGGCAAGAGGGTAAGAATGAGTGATTATTGGTGATGGTATGAAATACAGATGTACACTGAGAGGTCACTATGTAAGAGGTTAAAAGTGGAGCAGTACTACTTGGAGAGATGCTTTATTTTTGAATGTAGCACAAATGCAACCATCACCTTTGGTGCGCTTGCTTTTGAGAAACAAGGGTATGGTGCAGTGTCTGAGTCCACTGGAATCACTTGTATTCTGTTCAGACATAGGAGGTCCCTGAATAGAAACACAAATATTTGATATGGAGCAAAAAAGCCATCATAAAAATACCAATTATATAGTGTATCCATTATCAATAGTAGTATCCATTAATAAAGTGGTGCAGTTATGAGTAAAAAAACAAACAGAAATCAATAAGGATTTTCGAAAACCCTGGGTCTATCGTCTCGAACTCAATGTTTTTTTGAATGAGCTTTTGGTTAAATGCCTGAAATAAGCTCTCTGGTTAACACACGCTGAAGAGCTTTTCACATTTTGTCCTAGAACATAAAGTACATCAGTATAATATAATACCCCACTGGTAAATGTTTGAGTGGCTTAATGAGAGTACTTAGCATCATGGCGCTGCCGTTAGCTTAGCGCTGATGACGTGCAGCAATGTGGTGTTAATATGTAGATCCTATCCTACTGGACAAAATGTGTAAGATTTAAAAATCACAATAGCATTATGTCAATGGAGCCCTTGCGATGCAACTTGTTAGGACAGTCTACCAAAATACGCTTCCCTTGCACCTATGGTTTTGTGTCACCTTACAAGTCAACCAGATAGGATAAACTACTTATTTTAAACATTAATTGAAAATAAATACACTGTAACACTACACAAATACAGCGCAAGTATTAAAGGTCCCATGTCATGGCCATTTCCACTGATCATAATTCCATTGTTGAGGTATACTAAAATAGAAAAATACTGTGCAATTTTCCAAACTCACATTGGTTTCGCATACAGCATCTCTGTAAAGTATGTGTATTCAGCAGTATTCACTTTCTCCACTAAACGGCTCGCTGCAGCTCCCCCCCCCCTCCCTGTGAGTCCAGTGTGCTCTGATTGGTCGATAAGTTGTGAATCGCGCTGAGCTCCGTGGAGGTGTGATTTCCTTGTTTAGCGATAGATAGCCAAACACAGCCAAACTCAACCTGAACACACACAAAGTCACAGCCGAAATAAAAACAATAAGTGTGGCTTGATATTGAGTAAGAAAAAGGTTTATCGGTTGATAAACGCTGTGAGAATGGGTCTGCAGAGAGAATTTCGCCGCGATCCCAACTGTCAGCCTGCAGCAGGGAGCAGAAATCAGCAGAGTTGCCTGCACTGAGTGTGTGTGTGGATTGGTCAATTTGGACCAATCAGCGGGGGCTTAACGTAACGGCTCCGCGGACGTAACGTAACGGCTCCACGGATTGGCCCATTTAGTTCCGGGTACGTGCTTTCGTAAGCACGTACCCGGAAGAATCAAATGGATGATGACGTTTCACCAACGAGGCGTTTTGGGGAGGTATTTTCTGTGTTAGAGTTTTACTCGCTACAGGGTGTACTTTAAGGGTTTTGACTCTGCACACCGTTTACATGCAGAAAAACCTTCATAACACACAAGGGGACGGGTAATAACCGGAAAAGCATGACATGGGACCTTTAAAGTATTGCTCTGTACAGTTTATAAAGCTGTAAAAACTAAAGTTAAATTCCTTATACCACAAACAATCCTTTTACCCACAACCAATCCCAATCTCACTTAAAGGCCACCAAGTGGTAATTCTAGCATTTTCTTTTTGTAATACCTGAGCAGACGGATGTAAGGTGGAGGCTTCTGAATTTTTTCTCTTAGCACCGGCCCAGTCCAAGGACGACCTGTAAGTCGTATTGCTGGACAGAGACAACTCTGAAGTACCCTCATGCAGCATTTCATTAACATTTATGCTGCTATTGCCCGGCAATGCATTACTTCCATGACTTTGATGGATGAACAGCTTCAAATCAGTTTGACTTGTAGTCATCTTTGCATCTCCTGCATCTTCTATTTTGTCATTTTTCAGTTGCTCCCGACAGCTAAGAGTCTCAACCTGAGATTCAAGGTCAACAGTTCCCATTGTGATATCAGCACAGATGTCCTTCAAATTAGATTTTTCCAGAGGATCCTCAATGTTATCAAGTGTCTCAGCATTTGACTGGTCTTCCTTCTTTTTACATGCATTTGAATCACCATCATCATCACCATTGGCTACAGGAGACTTCAGCTGTACATTCTGCTCTGAGATGTCCTGACTTTGAGGTAATGCTTGTTGTTCAACCTCTGTTGTCACCAACACACATTCTTCCCTCACAGGCGTATCACCAATTTCATCTGTTAGCTTCATGTTTCTAGTGATGTCAGAAGGGTTACTCGCTTGTGTTGTAACTCGCTCCGACTCTTGGATACTGACAGTACCATCCAACTGAGCAGCTAATGGTACAGAAAGATCAGTGGGTTTATTGGCTGATGATATCTCGGATATTTTGTCTTCCGTTTTTTTCTCAAAAACTGGAATGGGACTTGGCGGATGAGCGAGTGACTCAGCAAAGGTCTGGACCTCATTATGACCGAGACGTTGCATTTGTTGATTTACGTTTGTCTCAAGACCGAGACTTTGCTGCTCATCAGAACAGACCAAATGTCCTTCTTTCCTGGTCTCATATTCTTTCTTCATATGGCTGTAGTCAGCATCCTTCTCACTGACTGTCTGAGGAAGACTGTGAGAGCAGTCTGAGGGCTCACAGTCAGTCAGAGGTGGCTCAGCGTCCATGGAGTCAACAACCTGCTGTGTGTTGCTCTTCTCCATAGTCATATCAGTAGTCGTCTGGACCCGTATCTGGATTTCTGCTGTGTGCAGCCCTGTCTTTCCTCTCTCCTCCGCTCCACATGTCTCTTCTCCCTCTGCTATATCGTTTGTTTCTGTTTGGGGGTCCCCTGCATCTTCTGTTGAGAACAGGCTATCTTCTCTTCCGTCGGCTCTATCTGTTGTTTGGGCCATGAGCGTTCCTCTCTTTTCTCCTTGGACTTCTTCTCTATTACACTGCTCTTCCTCGTTTCTTTCCCCCTCTTCGATCTGCGAGTCCACAGAAACATCAATAGACCTGTGGACGGGGCTTGATACAGCAACTACTGTTTAAAAAAAAAAGGATTTTCAACAGTTGGTCAAATTGTATCAGTCATTAAATGCCACAGCTTCAAGAATAAAAGTAATACATTGGCTTAGGAATTAGTCCTCAAACCTGGAAATGAGTTAAAACAATGTCAGGTCCCTTGTCTCAAAGTAAAAAATATGTTTAAAGATGTTTTTAGTTGGATACCCATAAACGGTGCTTTTAGAGGTTTTCACGTTGCATTCTAAGAGATAAAATATATCAGGCAATACCCCACTGGTGAATGTCTGAAGCTTCTATGCATCTTAAAAATTGTGATGCCAACTTTCGGATCCTACAAAAAGATGTCCTCACTTTGCCACTTTAGCTTTGTGCTTTAAAACATTTACCATGATACATGTTGGCACCACTCAGAATATGGCTGTCTTGTTTTCCTTTAACAAACTGCTTGTGTGATCTTAGTGAAATGCTGTGTTGATGTCTCACTATGAAACAAGTTATTTGTGTATGTTTATCTACTGTATGTTTGTATGTAGCTGGCTGACCTCCAGTTGCTCCAGTGGTGACTATCTCTGTCGCAGCTCCACTGTCCTCCAGACAGTCTGGGTATCTGGTCTGAATGGAGGCCAAGTGCTGCAAGCTGCCAGAGCTAAGCTCTGCGCTGGAGAAGGGTTCATTAAGAGTTTCCTCTCCTCTGATTCCCTCCACTAAAGTGGAGAAGACCTCTGTAGAATCACTGTGGCTCGGACTGATGTCTCTCATCTGTGTATAGAAAAATAAAAAGGCAGGTGTTGAAGCTAAACAATTGCTTTTATTTCACCTATTAACACAACCCCATCAGAGGTGTGGTTAATGGATGTAGTGGAGTTTTGTTGATGTTGTTAAGTGTTTTTGTTATCAACCACACATGTTGGATGTTCCTTTGTTCAATTACATTTGCTTTTATTCACACTTGTTACAGTAGGTGACACCACATACAGGTTCACTAACTAACTCATTTAAGAATTCAGTCATATATTAATCAGCATCGCGACGGTACTGAAATACCTTTGTCACAAGTTCATATCACAACAACAAAGTTTGTTTTGTCTTTGTCACAGACATATTTAAAAGACGTACTTTTTTTAACATAACTTTATATGAACAATAGCCCCATCTCTATTGGCCTTTATTTTAATTGCTCAATTTATTCGTTTACATTTTTTTATATTAGTACTGTATTTATTAATTGTGTCCATTTCCGTTTACGGAATGGAGTGGGTACAAAGGTTTCATGTGTGCAGATTATTTTAACCTCTAACTTAAATTGAATATCCTTTTTTTTTTTTTGTCTTATGTTATTTGCCAGATTGTTAAGGCACTTTGAGCCTCATCATCTGTAGGTAGAGTGCTATAAAATAAAGCCTTATTATTATTATTAATTATTGTTTTTCTAATTATAAGAATATTGTATTTTTCCCGAGAGAAAATTAAGTTGTTATAGATGCAACATTCTAGAATAAAATGAATGAATATTAATATAAACATAATAATGAAGGATTTAATTATGATGAATATAATGTTTTGTACCTCCAATTCCTTTCTATGCTGAGCCTGCACTGAAGCCTGTGAGGACAGTTCAGAGTTTTTCTGATGAAGCTCGACGTTAGCCTCTTTCACAGTTTGAAGTTCCTGATGCTCACTCCTGATGCGACCCAGAAACATGGCCTTCTGTTGAATGCAAAAGCACAGAGACAGATTTAAAGGGACATGATTTCTCTTTCAAGATGTTTCAGTAAAGCAAACAACAATAAATCACTTCCATTTTTCTTTTTCTGGCATTATAATCTACCTTGTGAAAATATTTTTGTGTCATATAAAAATGTCAACATCACACTGCTTCTCCCACACTTTTTCTTCTACCTCTTTGTCCCAGCTGTTCTGTGAAGCCGTGTAGCTCTCCATCAGTCGGCCCGCCTTGTCTTCCAGGGCCTTGCTTTTCTCCCGCATCGCCCGGTGCTCCTGCTTAAGGGCCTGCAGTAAAATTAATCACCCATAGGATTTTTAATGCAATACTAAATTTTTATGTGTTTATTTAACGTGAACAGAAGGTCTTAAACAGCCTGGATAGAGAAAGGACTTTTTGCTAATACAAATCAGTTGGCTTGTGTCATTTTAATAATGATTTTAATAAATGAATGAATAGGCGAATTAAAAACGAGAGAACAGAGAGAAGAAAAGAGAACAGTAAAGTGTAAAGCCATAAATGGGGTAAACAAAGGCGAGGGGGGGGGACCGTATTCACTTATGTATATGTGTTGATATACAACAGCACATTCATCACATTGATGGGAAGAAACTATGGCCGTTATTTATTTCTGTCCTTGTGTAAATTGACTCCATAATCATTTAAATAGACCCTGAAAAAGCCCTTGTGAGGCCAATACATGGATCGACCTGTAAAAATACACCACATTCTCTATCATAAAAATAAATGTTGACTTAGTTATTTTAAGGCATCAAACTGAACAACAATTAAAGGGGCCCTATTATGCTAATTTCAGGTTCATATCAGTATGTAGTGTCTCTTCTGTGACATGCCTCCATGCTTTAATGTTCAAAAATCTCTTTATTTTTCTCATACTGCCTGTGCTGCGGCACCTCTTTTCACCCTCTGGGTGTTTCTCAATGTCAAGGAAGGCTGCTCCAGAGCCACTATTTCAAGGATGCTACGTCATCGAGTCCCGCCGAAGGACTGTTCCAATGTCCAGGCTCCTTGGAATTCTACCAACCAGGCGTCCTTCGTAGCGAGACATTTCGAGGCTGCACTTGTGTATCCTCCGCGGTCTTAAAATCCCCACAATGCTTTGTGCAGGGACCAATTTCCAAATCTTTGGCGGAAATCACGCTCCATTTAAGGCGGGGCCTCGCATATGAGGCACACCTGTCACCTGTTACCTGTCACCTGTAACCCGTTAGCTGTAACCCGTTACCTGTCACCTTTCACCTTTCACCTGTCACCTGTAACCTGTAAGCTTGTTCCACCATTCTTGTTTTCCGAGGCTAGGAAGGATTCTTGCCTCGCTTCTGAAGGAAGTGACTCGGAAGACATGTCCTACCAAGGAAGCATCCTCGACATTGAGAAACACCGTCTGTCTCAAACCAGAGCCCAGTCTGCTCTGATTGGTTAGCTGGCTGGCTCTGTTGTGATTCATCAATCGCTAAGATATATTCCGCCCCTTAACAAATCATGACGTGATGTGTCGGATCTCTAGCCAATAGTAACACGAGTGTCACAAAGTGATGTCACTATATTACAGAAGTAAACAAAGGAGTCCAATGGAGGTGTTTTAGGCAGGGGGGGGGTGGGGGAGTGTGTGGGAGAGAAACCCTCTGGAGGGAACACAGGGGTGTAAGCCTTTGCAGCCCATTTACATGCACCAAAACGTATAACACACTACAGGAAGGGGAAAACCCGAAAAGCATAAAAATAATTTCTTTCTGTTTCCTGTTAACAGCCCATTATAATTGTAAACAGCTGTAGGTGTCTTTTAAATAAACCCCATTCTGGAAGATGGGTATATGGCCAGTCCTATAGATACTCAATAGAACTCTTTTTTATTTCTAATGTGGATATTTATATATTTTCCTGTTCATTTTATTATTAGTAAACATCCTGCTGTAACAATTTCCCAATTTGGAATCCATAAAGTACATCTAATCTAATCTAATTAAAAAGTACTTTTAGTATGGACAGCAGTAGCATGTGAGCTACAAATCTGTATTGATGTTTATGGGAACAATATGAACAGTTATGTTCATGAATCAGCAGAGGATGAAAGTGTGTGACCTGCTGCTGCTCTCTCTGTGTCTTCATCTCCAGATCGACTCTGCTGACTGTCTGCGTCTGACACAGCAGCAGCTGCTGGGCGTGCTGCATAGCCCTCATCACTTCCTATACAAACACACACATATACATTTTTGTGTACATAATGAAGTCATGCAACATGACACTTCATCGACCAATGAAGCGTGCTTCTAGCTTATTTTCACTTCCTCCAGTGAAAGAAAAAACCCTTTAAATTGTATTTTGAACAGAAATGAATCCTCCAAGATGACCACACCCAGTGCAGAAAAAGCATCAGGTTTTGTCTCTAGTTTTGTACCTGCTTTTCTGCTCTCACAGCTTCATTTTCCTCTCTTAGTTTCTTGTTCATTTCAGTTTCCTAAACAGAAATACAGAATAATAATGAAATACTTATAGCTTACCTGCTAAGTGTGATTATTTATCAGTGTGATCTTGATCAGTATCATATTGCTTTGAGGCTATTATCTTCCTGTTATGATCCTTTTCACTGATTGTTACCATGTTGAGTTTCTGGTGCAGCTGCTGGAAATGCTGCTCCCTGCCTGTAGGACTTTGGGCCTGGTCATATCTCACTGAAGACATCTTGGCTTTGATCAGCTTGTTACTAACCTCCTCCACCTCCTGAGAAAGCACCATGCATGAACAAATTGTAAAAGTAGAGAATAATCCAAGTTGATTAGTTTCTGTGAATCAATTGTATTTCTTACAGGCTATTTCTTAGACAACCATGGAACTGTAATGGTTTGAATACAGTTTTACAGTATTGACTATGGATGCAGTTAAAAAATGCTAAATCATTAAGCATTCTTTTCCACATACCTTTTTTAGTGACACAATGGTTGCCTCTTGTTTTTCACATGCAGTTGTAATTTTTTTATTTATTTTCATTGCCTCATCAACTGTAAGAAGTACACAAGGTAAGACGTCATTAATACATTCTATATGACACAACTGAATTAGTCTTACATTAATGTGTGAGAGTGACACACATGTAGGGAGATACGAAGAGATTCAGAAAAGCAACAATAACTTATATATTCACCTATATTGAATATTTTCAATGTAGTGGTCCTTAAGCATTTCAGTAAATGTGTAATGTAATGTTTAATTGAATACTTTCAGTGTTAAATTAAAGATGACTGAGGCGAAATGAGCCAGCAGTATACCTACATTTACATTAACAGAGATAGTGAATTTGAAATGGAAATAGAATTTGAGATAAGTGTGTTTAAAAACAGGCAATGTAGATGTTACAATGTACTTGGCAAAGTTGTGAGCTTCCAACAGAGTCGGCCAGCTAACCAATCAGACAGAGGGTGAAAAGAGGTGCTGCAGCACAGGCAGTATGAGAAAAATACAGATATTTTTAAACAGTAAAGCATGGAGACATGTCACAGGAGAGGCGCTAATTACAAATATGAACCTGAAAATGAGCATAAAATGGCCCCTTTAAAAGTAAACTTTTTTTTAAAAAGGAGTCAAAAAGTAAAAATGTTTCTTCTTTAAACGGTGGCAGTGTAGAGTATTATTTTCTCTTTGACTGAATGGGCAAGCAGTGTTTCCCCCAGGATAGAGTCATAGCAGCGGTGCTAAGGCACGTGGGCCCAGCATAATGTGAGCGCGGAGCGCGTGGAATTTTTTATTGTGTGCGCGTGCAAAGTGCGCCCCGCCAATTTGTTTCTATGTGTCAGCACAAGAAAGGCTCTTTAGGCCTAGTACCAGGGCCGGTTCTAGACAATTTGCTGCCCTAGGTGAGATTTTAGGCGACATTTTATGTGTAAAGATAAATGAAAAATCTCTACAAAAGACAAATACACTGCAAAAAAAGAAACTTATTGACAGTGGTAATCGACGTCAAAATGGCTTCAAATGTACTCAGTATTGTATGAACATGTTTGAATTGGGGGGTGGACGTGATATCCTCTAGGGGGGTCCGGGGGTATTCCCCCTCGGGAAGATTTTTTTGTGAACATTTTATAGTAAAATGCTTCAATCTGGTGCACTTTGAGCACACAATTACTAGAGACCTGATTTAGGGGGCACAACTCTACTAAATACGTACTGGGCAAATTAAACGTGTAACCAGGGTGAAAAGGGTGTTACATTTACTTAATTATGAATGTTGTTACATCAAGGCCGAACATTTGGATGAGCGGCAACGGTCAAAAAT